GAGAATCATTGATCGGCTGCCTGCACACTCTCTACTGGGGATTGAACCTGAAAGCCAGGCACGTGCCCTTGACTGGAATCAAACCTGGGACCCTTCAGTCCGCAGACCAATGCTCTATCCACTGAGCCAAACCAGCTAGGGCTAAGAGAAATTATTGATAAAAATGATCTTGCTTTATATGCTATATATCTTGAAGGCATTATCATTTAAAAATATATATTAGAAAATATATTAATGAAAAAGACAAAAGGGTAAAATAGTTGTAATTTAAAAAAATCTGCATGGATTCATTTTAGTTCTATATATCATGAAATATTTTTTTCAAGTTTGGAAAAAAAAGTGCTGAAGCACATATGAGACTCTAGCTGTCTTCTACCGTATGACAGACATTGCAAAATATATAAAACAATGTCACTTCTCACTCAATTTATTTTGGAGAAAATATACTTACTTTTAGTATAAAATGTGAAAATGAGTTTCTTACTGTTATTTTAAACTGAATGAAGGTTTTTGGAGTTTCCAATATTTTTTAAGATTACAAAGGGTTTCTGATACGGAAAAGTTTGAGAACTGCTGCTTTAGTCTGAGGATTTTCACATACTTTCTCACCTCACTGAAATCTGGCTTCTGTTCCCAAGATTCCACTAATTTCTCTGGCAAAGATTACTAATGATTCTGTGTTCATAAAACTGTCAGCTCCTTTCTTAGGTCTTATTTCCATGATCCTCCCCATTGCTTGACCATTATTGCCCATCCTCCTCCTCCTTAATTTTTTTTTTCTGGGGTATTATATCATCCCCTCCCTCCCCCATATTTCCTGATGGTTTCTTCTCCATTTCTTTCTCTCTTTACTCCACTCCCCTCCACTTCATTCTCCTGCTCCCAAATGTGCTTTCTCTGGGGCTGTATTCCCAGCCCAGATGTCTTCCTGGTCACATATATCTCCATGCCATTAACTACTACATGCTGAGTCCCTTGCCTAGGTCTCCAGCCCAGACTGCTCCACAGAGCTCCATTTTCCATCTGTCTGTTACTTATTCCCATATGTCTTACTGGTACTTGAAACTCAGCATGTCCACAGGCAAATTCACCAAGTCCTTCCCAAATCACTTGCTGCTCTGGATTTTTTTTTTATCTTTATAATTGCTACCACCATTTTTCAGCTACCCACGTTGGGCACCTTGAATAAACTTGGCAACTTCTATCAGTTTTTGATTCCCCCACACCTGTTATAGCCATTGAACCCTGCAGATTCTTTGAAGCCTGTCTCCCACCCTTCACCTGCCTTTTTATTCTGACTGCCACCATACTAGTTGAGACCCTTTTTTTCCTCATTTGATCATTATAAAAATCATCTTATTGGCCTTTGTGTCTCATGATCCTTTGCCAAAAGATTCAAAATACATAGGTATGATCTTATCATTTATCAGCCGGCAGAATAAAGCTTCTGATACTGACATGTAAGGCTTTCCATGATTTGATTCCACCCTACCTTGCAGCTGGATCTGCTTCAGCTTCTCTGCACAAACTCTCCAACCAGTGTTTTTCTTTTTTAATTATGTTTTTATTGATTTTAGAGAGAGGAAGGGAGAAGGAGAGAGATAGATAGAAACATTGATGAGATGAGAAACACCGATTAGCTGCCTCCTGCACGACCCCTACTGAGGATCCAGCCTGTAACCCGGGCATGTGCCCTGACCAGGAATCAAACTGTGACTTCCTGGTTCATAGGTTGACTCAACCACTGAGCCATACCTGCCGGGTTTAACCAATGTTTCTTATATATATATTTTTTATTATATATTTTATTGATTTTTCACAGAGAAGAGGGAGAGGGACAGAGAGTTAGAAACACCGATGAGAGAGATCGATCAGCTGCCTCCTGCACACCCCCCACTGGGGACGTGCCCGCAACCAAGGTACATGCCCCTGACCGGAATCGAACCTGGGACCCCTCAGTCCGCAGGCAGACGCTCCATCCACTGAGCCAAACCGGCTCGGCAACCAATGTTTCTTAAAGTGTGGTCTGGGAACCCAGTTGCCTCATTGTTACCTGGAAAACCTATTAAACCCAACGCCAGACCTACAGAATCAGAAGTGGAGCCCAGGAATCTGCACATCTAACAGTACGCACAAAAATCTGAGATCCACTGTCCTGCTCTCTAGTCAGACTCAGCCACTCAGCAACCCCCAGACAGACCCTACACTCTTGTCTCTGCCTTTGCTGTCCTGCCTCCTCCATCTGCCTCGAGTCCTCTCTCATTTATCTTTGGATCTTAAGTCCAATCCCTCCTTCAAAGCCCGCCTGTCTCAATTGGTCTACTTTTCTGAAGTCTTCACTGCTTACTCCAGTTGGGAGTGATATCTGTCCTATGATCCCTAGAGTTTATTGCTTGCTATCTGTTTGCGTGTTGTATGTAGATTCTTGATAGTTATTTGCATAAATCTTACCTCCCCTACTGGTGTCCTGGGTGTTGGGACAGAGAAGCCTGAGGAGGCCTCACAGATGTGCTTCATACTACCAACCACAGTTGCCTGAGGAACCCTGGTTTTATGAATGTGGAGAGAAGATAGGGATCTGAATGAAGACAGCAGTGGGAATGGAAAAAAGGGATGAATGTTAAAGACCCTGAAAACAGCTAATCAGTGTGGGTGGTAAGAGAAGGGATCAATGATTTAAATGGTAACACTGGGTATCTAAGGAGATGGTGGCCCATTGATAGGAGAGGGTTGGGGTGGGACGGGGGTCATGCCTGTGGGGGAGACCTCATTTTTTGGCTACTCAGCCACTGAATTCCTTTCCCCATGTTTGAGGAAATCTGACAGTCTGTGAATTTCGGTGGCAGGTGAGAATCGGCTTCCCACTACAGATGATTTAAAGGTAAGATATTGTCTCTGATTCTTGTGAACAAGGCCATGTGACCTAAACTCAGACGTTATCTGACTTTAAATCTGGAGCACGCGGCACAAACCAGCAGGGACTGTTTAGGCTCTCTCTGTCCTGGTGTCTGCGTCATTCAGGGCCTCATCCCGGGAAGGGGGGCTGCTCGTGCTGGAGTCCTTCCCCACCTGCCTACCCTTCCCTGGTTCCTGGCCATTTTCTCATGGTTCTCCAGTCTCCCCAACAACTCTGTGGGTTGCCTGATCCCTTTTCATAAACTCCTTCTCTACTTCAGTAGCCAAAATTGGTTTCAATTTTTTGTAACTGGCCACCCAGACCAGTACAAGGCCCCCCTGAACGAAGTTCACTTCGGGAGACTGAATTTCTCGTCCCCTTTATATGAACTCAGTGGTGCTTCCAATGGTCAGGATCCTGAATTAGGGAGGCTCCCAGGTCTCCTGCTTCAACTTGCCACCCAGCGCCCAAATCCCCTCCACAGCTCCCGTGATACCACTACCTGATCAACCCCAGGGACCAGCAACTCGTTTCTTTGCTGGGTTATTGACTCCATTGTTAGGAAGTCTTTGGTATCCATCACTTTCCGTTCTTTTCAATGGAAGACTGTGATATTTCCTCTCATATTTAGGTTCTTTCATGCCTTTTGAAAGTGAAGTACATGTACTAAAGATGACACTGATGTGTGAGGTGATATGGGACATCCCAGGGAAAGTGAGCCTGCAGCCAGGTGAGGGGGGTGCAGGGATTTGTGAGTCAATAGTAACGGTTGAAAGTAATGGCCTCTCTGGGAGGGGGGTTGGGGGGGATGCAAAACAATTTGCAGAAAAATGCAAATGAAGCACTGAGGGGCACATAAAACATCTGGGCAGTAGTGGGGTCAGAGTGAGGGAGAGGGTGAGGGTGAGAAATGGAGTGAGAGTGAGAGATGAGATCAGGATGAGGAACAGGAAGAATGCCAGGGATGAAATAAAGGCCATCTGGCAAATGACCCGGCCTTTTGACAGGCTTTTAAAAATGGCTGTGTCAACATCTGTATCATACAGGGCAACCCCCACTCAGAAGCCACGGAGGAAGGGAGGGGAAGTGTATTCAGAAAGTGGTATGATCAGAGCCACCAGGGCCGAAGGGGGAGAGGGTTTTAGGAAGACAAGGGTGTTAGGCTGTGGGATCTAGTAGAGCCAGGGCCTGGAGACAACAGAATTGGGGGCTGTGTGGTGACAGGAGCTCTAGGGTGTAGGAGGGAGGGGGGGGGGGAGCAAGGACGCCTGGAGTGCTGGTGAGCGGAGGGAGAGGAACACTGAGCAGCCAGAGGAGTGAGGATGGAGAGGAGCAGCCCTGGAGAAGCAGAGGTTGG